AAGCCAAAGCTCAAGCAGGAAGTGGCAGTTACTGCTCTGTTTCCTCATGGCTGCCCAAATTCAGTTCCTTATTCTCTCTGGGCTCCCTTCTTGAGAAGGAGGAGCAGCAAGCCCAGCAATCTCTTGTTGGGATTTGGGCCCTTGGCAGGTGTTCAACTATGCTGAGATCTGGCACCAGCACTGACATAGCACAAGATTGGGGTTGTGTCCACCTACCGCAATCCTTGTGCTCAGGTCACCTCTGATGGTCCTTCACCATGATCCAGCCTAAGGAATGTACCATGTCATTGTTACACTGGTGTGCCCAGTCTGAGATGTGTAGACTCAGTACTTTATAATCCTTTCCTGGTGCTCCTGAAGGGAAGAGGAACGAAGGAACGTAGAGTCTGCTGCATTGCAAAATTCAAAAACGTGCAAATGCAGAAAGGGGGCTGTGTTTTGGTTTGCATTTCCCCCTCACCTCCCTTGCCTTCAAATGTGAAATGATTCAAAATTCTCCCGCATCCCTATGAAGGAGAAAGTAGATGATTGGAAGCTAGAGATGGAGGAGAATTTCATTTGGTCCTCATTTATAAGGGAACCAGTTGAATTTGCCTTTTCTGTGGTGGCTCCTTGTTTGTGGGATGCTCTCCCCAGGGCAGCTCCCCTGGCACCATCCTTACATATCTTTAGGTGCCAGGCAAAAATATTCCTCTTCTCCCAACAATCTGTGGCCTTTTAAACTTCCAGGGTATGGTTTTTGTTTGCTACTGCATTGTGAATATTGTGGTTTTATACTATAACACACACACACACACACACACACACGGTCCTCAAATTCAAACAACAACAACAAATTGTGCTCCTAAACTAATACAGTTTTTTTTTGGGGGGGGGATTTTGCACTTATCTCAATTTTAGTTCTCAACTCAAGCAGCAAACCAAAACTCAGAAACAAATTTATGTTTTATGCTAAAATACAAATGCATATCCAGATCAAAATTATCATTTTTGGGGTAAAATATGTATTTAAATGTAGCCCCTACCCCCCCCCAAAAGCACAGATTGATATGTAAACAGAATGAAGATTCATGAAATTGACATGGACTGCGAAATTGACATGGGCTGCAAATAAACTCATGCATTCATCCCTAAAAGAAACTAGTTGTTTCCACTGCTCTAAAAAGTTTTGGTGTAACGTCAGTGGATTTTGTTCTGCCCCAGCAAATCTCCAGCCTGCTTTGCAGAAAAAAACACAGAGTGGTCTCCATAATCCACTCCATATTTTTGTATCGGAATTCGGCTGTGCAGAGTTCTCTCCATGCATGCCCAGAGCCCTCCAGACACATCCGATAGAGTCTTCATGTGGCCTGGGTGTATTCCTGGTACTGTTTGTAAATCTGAGGTTTTACAGTTAAGTCATCTGGGCAACTGTTTTCTACTGTTGGCCTAATACAGCCCTTTTCAACCTGCTGAAATGCACTGTGCCAATTGGCAAAAAGCTGTACAGCTCTGCTTTTGCCGCTAATGTGAAGCATCTGAAGCCAAGAGCAGGAGCGAATCCTATGAGGGGGAAGGAGGCTAGCAGCAGGCAAGTGTTCCTTTCAGAATAAAATAACACGACTCAACCAGTGAAGCAAAGTTAACACACTAGGACCCAAAACACGAAGAACAGAAATAAAGAGCCTCTGGTTTAATCTGCTGGTGCCATTAAATTAAACGTAGTTGACTTGCTGTTGGGGATCATATTTATCATGGGGCAACGCAAGTCTCTCTCCAGAAGACTTGCGCTAGAATGAAGGCAATGTGCTTTGATGTTAAAGGCAGTGCTGCCTTCACCCAGTTGCAGCTGGTAACCGAGCCATGACTTCCTACACCAGACAGAAAACAACTGTGAATCTGCCGGAAATGAGTGCATTTTCATATAAAGTCAAATATTGTATAAATCAACACAGTGTCTTCTATGGGGATATTATCTGGTTCATTGTCCTTCTTCCATTAAAGGACAACCACATTTGGCAAAGCTGGCGTTTTCTTTACTAGTACAGACGCTGGCAGGGGCTGATGGGAGTTGTAGTTCAGCAGCACCTTGAGGGCACCAGGTGAGGAAAAGCTGCTTTACGATATGTGCAATTCGATCCGCTGAATGGGTTCTGTTTGGTTGCCTTGTGCTAACCTACCATTTCTTTAAAGAGCTTAGGGCATCATGCATGAGGGTTGCTCAATACTATCCTTACAAACCACGCTGTGAGGTAAGTTAGGCAGAGAATGCGGATGGCCCAATGTTATCCAGTGGGATTCATGACTCTTTTTTTTATAAATTGCATCTCCCAAGAAAGGAAGGAAGGAAGGAAGGAAGGAAGGAAGGAAGGAAGGAAGGAAGAAAGAAAGAAAGAAAGAAAGAAAGAAAGAAAGAAAGAAAAGAAAGAAAAGAAAGATGTCCCACTTAATTATGACAGAACTCTTGAACCATAAACCTTCTATCAAAATGTTGACCAGACAATGACTCTATGTTCAAGTTGCTTCCCATATGCAAACATTTTTAAACAGTCATGGCCGCCACTCAAAAAAATGCTGAGAAGTGTACTTTGTTAAGGCTCCTGAGGGTTATTAGGAGACCTCCTATTCTCCTCATGGAGCTACCTAGGGTTCCTGGCAGTGGCATTGCGTGGGTTGCCAGTGCCCGGGGCTGCATGGAGGGGGTGGGTGGGAGGGATGGAAACATGCAGAGTATGCATATGCATTTCAGCTTCCTAACAGTGTCTGCTTCACCCAGGAAACTGCAGCCACAGAAATAAGAAAAGAAGAGTCATTGGCGCTGTCTGGAGAGGCCACTTCCTGGTTCGCATGGAGATGCTGTTTTCAATGGAGCCCAGGAACGGAAAGTGCAGGTGTATTGAGGCAGCACCAGGCATTGAAATTTTGCACCCCCTAACAATTTTGTGCCCAGGGCAACCATCCCTGTGGCCCCCAGCCTATGCCACTGGTTCCTGGGGAAAAAGAATTTATTGTAAAACCATTCTGGGAATAATAACTTTGTGAGGGGAATAAGGGTCTCCTAACAACTTCAGCACCTTGAAACTAACCACATTCCCAGGATTCTTTGGGGTAAGCCATGACTCTCCAAGGTGGCATGATGCTTCAAATATATGGTGTGGCTGCAGCCTGGGTTTAAGCTCTGAAGCAGCCATTCTGTGCTCTGTGGCTATTCTATAGGGAAGGGGGCGGGGGACCACAGCATACAGTAGAATTAATTTTTTATTTAGCCATCTCTATTGTTCTATACTTGGGTCAAGACCTCTCACCTCTTGTTTATTTCTTTCCATGTTGACCTTTCACTGCAGCACCAGGCTAATTTTGTGCTCCAGTGACCAAGAATGGGAATTTGTCACTTTATTCAAAAAGAAATGAATATAGGTATGCTTGGAATTCTCAACAAGGCTTTAACTCTTTCCACACTAAAGCTATCTGCCTGTTCTCTGTTAAGAAATGTCTTTTTCTGAAGTTGAGATAGATTGGATATAGATATATAACATCTGCATCTTTTGTCTGAGAAAGGATTTTCCTTTCTTCCTTTCCCTGTGGAAAGCTGGCTATGATTTTCTTTCCTGCCAGACAAAGACCACCTTACATATTGTAGGGGGAACAAAATATGACTGTCCCCTAAGTACATGATGGTAGCCATCCCCCCCCCCCCGGTAGAATTACCCAGGAAGGGGCAACATCTTATAATGTACTGCTCCTTCCAGGTGACTTTCTAGTCACAGTATAAGAGTGGGAACCTCAGCACTTCTCCAAGTGAGCCAGCATGGTTGTTTAAAAGAAGCCAGGAAAGTCATGGACCAGCACAGAAGTTCTCAAAAAAAAAAAAAAAAGGGAAAAAAAGTTAAGCCAGTTGAAAGCATGACTATTAAAGAAAACAAAATCCTTAAAAAAAGGTGCACAGACTGGCCACTTTATGTGCAAGGAACATAAACCAGGTCAGGAATCCTGAACTTTCATCCATTCCTACTTCTGGGTCTGGTTGGTGTTCAGATAGATGACTGCTCAAGAACCACATCCACACCAACTTGGTTTCCATGGCAGAAGAAAGGCAGGATACATCAATAACAAGCAAACAAACAAACATATTCTGTGATTGATATGAATTATTATTTTTATTGATAATTATTAAATCTGTACACCACCATTCATCCTTGGGTCTCGGGGCGGTTCACATCATAAAATTGCAATTTCAGCTTAACATACCCAAAGCTCCGTTAACAGGCATTGTCCATAAATCTCTTCCTAACATTCACGGTGGCCACATAGAAACACCACGTCTGAAGGCTTAAGCGTGTATGGTAGGATGAAGGGCAGCGAGGACACACACACCCTGCAAAGAAGAAGAAGAAGAAGAAGAAGCAGCAGCAGCAGCAGCAGCAGCAGCAGCAGCAGCAGCAGCTTAATATCCATTGGGCACAATCAGTGCGCACAGAATGTTGTCTACGGACTGTAGGGAGAAAATGGAAATCTGGGAAGTGGACTGTCATGGAAAAGGACATATCAGCTTGGTTTGAACCCTGAACAGCTCTCACACCATAATGTTTTGCTTCAGGTCCTGCTAATAGTACTACTACTAATCGCTAATGGAGCCACCACATTCAGGGTTCGTATTTCTGCCTTCCTGCTCTGTTTGTGAGCTTTACAGCCTGAATCTTGCACCCAGCCTAGGACTGGACCCACAGCACTTAACTCTGTTCTTACTTGACAATGTATTTATACGGTGTTGTGTTGCTATTGTTTTTGCCCATACTGCAAACCGTTGTGCGTGCTCAGCTTTTGAGCCTTTAACATTCCTACATCCCTTAAGTTGCAGGAGGTGAACCGGAATGAGCATGGGCTTCCACATAGCCACTTCCTGTCAAGCTGCTCTCTCTCTTACGCAGCACAGGTGTGCAGTGGAATGGAATGATACCTAATGCCCACCTTTCCTCCCCCTTCCTCCTGTCCCCGTGGCAACCAGACCAAAACAAAACAGAAGCCACTAACCTCTGGCAGTGCAGCTGAGGCCTGAAACCCTCCAGAAAGAGCATATCTTACCACGTCCGGCACAATCCGAATGGGAGTGTGTAACTTGCAACAGCATGTCCAGAGTTGTGTTTATACTGCAAACAGCCCAAGTGGGTCAGGTCTGCTTTTATTAAACCCGCCGCTAACAACTCTCCAGTATAACTGAAAGCGAATGACAGCAGCATCTAGCACTGTTCACTTTAGTTATACAATTAGGCGAATTTACATTAAATCAATCATGGAATCATAGGAAGTATCGCAGCTCCTTGATGTAAGTATCAAAACCAAATACTTTCCTTTACACGGCTGACCTTTGTCAGCTCCGTGTAAACTGAACCAATGATGAGTCATTGAGTTAGCAAATTAGCTTCTCGTAGTTGTTGACAGGGTCAGCAGAAAATCTGTGGCGTTTTCAACAACAACAAAAACGAACTGATCTCTTAGGTACTGAATATTATTACTCACTTGCTGCATTCAGTCTTCATAATCTCCGATGACATTCAGAAATCCTCAGGAGTGGAGTGGGAAGAAAAGGAGACCCAGTGTATTTGCGCTATTCTTTGTATAACCGCTTGTATGAAGTGCGAACAAATTTGTGATGCCACAATGTAAAGATTGTACCAGCTGCTCTTTGTGACGATATCCTTCCCCACGCCACAAAAAACCTTCCTGCACCTATTAAGGTTATTCAACTGTGTGTTGCTTCTTCAAAAAATGAGAACAAGATGAGAGCAAGGGCAGCTTAAGGTGCTGAAACTTGGAAGGGAAGGTGGGATTGAAGATGCTCACGACTTCCTCCTCACTGAGCCAATTATGAATTAGGAACAGATCCTTTAAATGGAGAAAGTGTGGTTCAATAAATTATGGGTTCTGGCAACTTTGAGCCAGATAACATCCTATCTTGGGGTTATACAAGGAAAACCAAAGGTTACTAAATCTGAACAAATAATTAAGGATCTTTGGAATAAACATAAAGGAGTGACAGGACATATACGCTTTCCCTGTTTTATAATGGCTATGTAGATTTATATTTAAGGTTCGAGGACACATTCTGGTCAGGCAAAAACACTTGAGGGGGTGGAACAAAACCAGCGATATTTGCAACCTGGGAAGGGCCGTGGGCTGGGGAGAGGACCCACGTAGGAATCAAAACCAGGGTCCTAGTGCATACCCTTCAATACCTTGAAGCCAAAATCTGGGACGCCATCTTCCTGGTTTCCATCTGCTCTTTTCTTACCGCAAGAACATGGCAGCCATATTGGTTGCTTTCTTTCAGGGGGAAATTGGGCGGCAAAATCACACGAGATCACGCACACTTGCGGGGTATGCTAGTGCCAGAGCTACGCCATGATGTAAGCTATCATGCTGCCATCTTTGGTGCTGTATACTAAATGTTCAGAGCACACAGTCCTTGTACTAGTCACCCCACTTTTGGACTTGTCCAAGCATAACTTAGCAAAGGAATACTACTAAGGAAAGAGAGAGAGAGATGTCCAGGGCTTTTATATATATATATATATATAAACAGAACTCACTAGACCTCAGCTCAGGCACCTCTCAGGTAGACGTCATTGCCATCCTAAGAAAAAGAGGGAGAAGTTTGTAGTGAGTTCTGGCACCACTTTTTCTAGAAAAATAGCACTGGATGTGCCCTGAAAGCTGGGGCAAAGGCATTTAGCTCCCTTCATCAGGGAACACTTACTTAATATAATACATATCAGATAACTTAGTTCCTTATTTAACACTGCATCCAAATGCATAACTTCTAGGGTGGTCCTACTTTACAGAAGACTTTTTGAAGAGGCTGCCTGGTCCAAGTCCAGTTTAAAGATCAAGAACCCCCCAAAAGAGGAGCGGGGGTCTTGAAATCGCCCATCAAAACTACAGCAGACTGAGCAGTAACATAGGACACCATGTCACAACCACCACCACCACCCCGAACACAGAGTGGGAGGTATTGTATTTCTAGTTGCACTAGTTATTTCTGACTTTGCGTCGCTACATATAAATCTGCACATGCGACTTTGATGCAAATCAGCACCCACTTTTGTCCTCTTTTTTGATGATGTCTAAATGGCCAACCTACTGTCTTCTCTTCCCTCCAGAGGGACTTTATATAACTGTGCTGGTCTTCCGAATCTATTTTGCTTTTGTGCCAATATGTTAGCCAACTCTGTTGTTCCTTCTAATATTTGGCATTTGCTTTTGAATTATGCTTGTCCATCTGTTATTTGTCCTTTTCGTGGTGCATTCTGCCCGTTCCGTTTGTTCTTCTTCGTTTTTTTTCTTTTTAAAAAAAACCAGTTACATTTTCTACCACACCAGCACCGAAAATTCTACCAGTATATCTGTTTTACTTTCATCTCCTATCTTTTCAGGTCTAGCCTGCACCTCCCTGTTCAGGGAATATGATTCACCTGCACCTTCATGTATCCTTGGGTGACTGAAGGTGGGGCAGGTCATCTGGGGCAATGGAAGGGTGTGTACTTGGGACAAGGAAGCTGAGAGGGCGGGAGCAAGTCTGCAACTGATTCCCAGTTCAGCTAAAATCCATTGTCAGAAATCAGACCTCAGTGCCTTGATCTCCTCATCTCCCCCTCTCTGCAGCTTCCCCTCTGCAACAATGAGAAGTTACAAGTGCCCCCACAGCATTTGCATGAAGGATGACAGGACTTAACTGTGCAATTGGAGGAGGTGCTGATTTCAGCGCAACTTTCTCAAGCATACCTTTCGCAGAAAAGTCAGACTTAAGAACATAAGAAGAGCATCCAGTGCTGCTTCCTGTTCTCATTGTGGCCAGTCAGATGCCTGTGGGAAGCCAGCAAGCAGGATCTGGGCACAAGAGCACTCTGTCCTCCCATGGCTTCCAGAAACTGGTTTTTGGAAGCATTGTCGTCTCCAACTGTGGAAGAGGAAGAAGAAGAAGAAGAAGAAGAAGAAGAAGAAGAAGAAGAAGAAGAAGAAGAAGAGGAGGAGGAGGAGGAGGAGGAGGAGGAGGAGAATAGTAGATATCCGCTTTATCAGTAGTTTTAAGTAGTAGTAGTTTGGACTTGATATCCCGCTTTATCACTACCCTAAGGAGTCTCAAAGCGGCTAACATTCTCCTTTCCCTTCCTCCTCCACAACAAACACTCTGTGAGGTGAGTGGGGCTGAGAGACTTCAGAGAAGTGTGACTGGCCCAAGGTCACCCAGCAGCTGCATGTGGAGGAGCGGAGACGCGAACCCGGTTCACCAGATTACAAGTCCACCCCTCTTAACCACTACACCACACTGGCTGTGGAGGCAGAATACAGCCATCATGGTTGGTAGCCTTTGATAACCCTCTTCTCCGTGACTTTATCTAATCATCTTTTGATGCCAACTGCGTTGCCATCACTGCTTCCTGTGGGAGCAAGTTCCATCATTTAACTGTGCATTTCACATTATCCGCAACCTTTTGCCAGGTTCTGAGGGGAAGAAACCCAACTTGTCAATGGTCCCCTCTCATTACTCTCAAGAATATCAGTTAGGGAGGGATAAAGTTGGTCCAAGGGTGGTGATCAAGGATGCAGATCAGTGTTTCCCAAAGATGGCAATATTGCCCTCTGGGGTTGCTGGAATGGTCCAGGGGGCGGTAGTTGCCTCAGGTGCAATTGGGGGATGTTGAATAAAAATAAGGGGGCAGTGGAAGCATAAAGAAAAAGAGAAGAAAATTTTGAAAAAACCATTTGTACATGTTCCATCTGTTGTGTAATGATGCATACCGCCAGGTCGGGCAGCATTGTGGGACGGTGACAACGCCTTCCCTGGATCCGGGGGTGTGTGTGTCGTGCTGCAGGTAACTGATTTGGCCAATGGCAGGCGGGCTGTGGCACCAGAACCGCCCCTTGGGGGGATTGGACTGAGCCGGCAGGTTTCATTCCAGTCTGCCCTATGGGTTTTTAACCCTGGGGTCTATTTCACCTCCTCCAGTAATTTTTTTTCCTGAAAAGGGGGCAAATAAGTTTGGGAACTTCTGATGTAGATAGAGATAGAAAGGCAACAAAGCAATGTGGGCAACTAGGGAACATAATTTCATCATGCAACCAGGGATGGATATAGGTTTGATGAGGCCCTAGTCTACTGAAGGTAATGGGGTCCTTTATATGTCCAGCTGTCCTTTGTCAACAACAAATTGTTGCTGTTTTTTGTGTTGAATATATGCTATATGGTCATTTATGGACCTAATAGGTATCTAACCAGTGATATTTTAGGGAGCAGGCTAGCAGGCGGGGCCCATTACTTATAGAAGCCTACACAACACAAAACACTGTTGCTATATGTAGGTTCTATTTTATTTGTTTTTTATCTTATATTTTGGAAATGTACATCCAGATTTTTTTTTCTTTAATTTTTTTGGGGGGCCCCAAGAGAGTGGGGCCCTAAAACTATAGCTTGTTTAGTTTATACGTAAATCTGGCACTGCATAGAACTGACGAAGCAAGGAGAACCGAGCCGGCGAACCCAGGAAGAGCCACAGGTCAGTGTTTTAGGACGTCTGCTTTGCATGCAGACTGCTCCAGTCATGCTAGCTGGAGCTGTTGGGAACTGGAGTCCAACAGCCGGAAAGCCACAGGTTTGGAACAGGTTAAAAAATGGCCTTATACTGGCTACCTAGCTCAATATTGTCTATGCTCACAGGCCAAAACTCTCCAGGATTCCAGGCAGAGTTCTTTGCCAGCCCTACTTGGAGATCCCGTTGCTCGGTCCCTGCTCCTGCCAACCTAGCAGTTTGAAAGCATGTCAAAATGCAAGTAGATAAATAGGTACCGCTCCGGCGGGAAGGGAAACGGTGGTTCCGTGCGCTGCTCTGGTTCGCCAGAAGCGGCTTAGTCATGCTGGCCACATGACCTGGAAGCTGTATGCTGGCTCCCTCGGCCAATAAAGCGAGATGAGCGCTGCAACCCCAGAGTCGGTCACGACTGGACCTAATGGTCAGGGGTCCCTTTACCTTTGCCTTTATGTAGAGGAATTATTTTAAAACATTGTGTGTGTGTTTTTTGAATAATACGGTGTTCTCCAGCGCGAGTCTCTTGGAAAGAGCAGGATGCAAGATAAAGTGAATGAATATTTAAAATGAATGAGCCAGCATTTGCTGCAAGGCACGCTGAGATACAATGGGTGGCGTGTGATGGACAAAATGCAACCGAGAAAAATCTGTCGCAAGCACTGATTTATTGCTAAAAGGAGAGGTGCCAGGGTGAAGCTTATGTGGAAGCTGCAGAAGCTGACCTGGAAGCCCCGGATCTCAGCCCAGGTGTGTAGGGTATGTTTGGAGTAATTATTCTTCTATAATTAATTCTATATTATTACATCTCCAATTCCAGGACTGAGACTGGATGGCAGAGACCTGCCTGAAAGTAAGCCACAGGTGGGAGTGTATTTGGGACACGCATTGCGAAAGCTCTCTGGGGAAGCCCCAAGAAAATATTAATTTCTCTATGCTTTTTTTTGCCCCAACATGATTCCTGGATTATTTACTGGGAGGAAAGCAGAGGGAGATAAGAAACCTGCTGTTTATGAACATGAAGCCTTCCAATTTCATATGTACACACGGTGGAAGCAAGGAGACTGTGATGAAAATACTTGCAGGGAATAGCACAAATTAATTGTTAACTTAAGAACCAACTGTCTTTTTAAAAATAAAAATATCATATACTCAATGTCTATCGTTCATATCAACACCCCCCTCACACACAGAGAGAGATATTTTCACAAACATACAATGTTCTCTGAATATGCAGAAAAAAAATATAATGCAATGTGTCCTTAACATGAACTTATTTGCCAACGCTATTTAAAAGCAAATCTTTCATTTTATAAATATTGGGGTTTAAGAATAATTCATGAAGCACATTGCAATGTAGATATGGTATGTGTTTATAATTTTTTAAACAAAATTACAAAATCAGCCAGGGCCAATTTTAAAGAAACTCTTTTAAAAAACTTTGAAATATTTATGAGTCTTTGGGTTTCTCTCTCTCTCTCTCTCTCTTCTTCCTCTTCTTCTTCTTCTACAGAAAAAACAAGTTTTATGTAATGTGGAAAGCAGCTAATCTTAAGAAAACTGTACGTAAATATGAGATGTTTTGCCACTCCTACTCAAAAACGTTAGACTCCTAAATTGAGAGGAGGGAAATGGAATGGGCAAAGACATGGATGTATATACATCATGCGGTCTTGCGCATTTGTCAAGAACAAATTAAACTTGGATCAAAATTATTCAGAACCCTCCAATGCAATTGTAGCAAAAGCACATAGAGAATGTCTTCATAAATGCTTTCTAATTTGCAAAGCAAGCCCCTTTGTGGGGAGAGTTTAGTAATACGACATTAATACTCGCATTACTATTAAACAGCCATAAAGAGTATAGTTTAAAAGCTTTTGCAGTGGGGAGGAGGGGAAGGAAATGCGAGGGAACTCTAATAATCTGTGTACCTTTCTGAATCATGTTCTCAAAGGACTCCATTGCAGACTGGCTCGCAAAGCAGAAGGGGACAAACAGAAATGGTCCCAAACGTGTTTATTATTGGAAGAAAAGATGCGAATAAGTACATTCAGTTTATTCTGATTTCAGTATCGGTCATAAAGTGGCATTTGTGGGAGAGTTAATGCGGGTGAATTTGCAAATCAATGGTCTCAGATAACCGGTTCAAGATTGGCCATTGGCTTAATGCAGTCGGGGATCATTAAGCCATACCTCATTGCCATTCCCGTCATTCATCATTTAGTGATTTGACATCACATGGAGGAATGTCTGTATATGAAGGCACTAATCAGCTCATATGTGCACACCTCATTATTACACAGACACCACAATTAGAGCCCCATTGTCTCTATAAGATGCTACTCCACAGAAATGTACCAAACACCATTTGCATACAAGAGGTCAATCGCCAGATATTGTCGTAAGAGGCAACATTTTCAAGTCGACAATGTTTAATTTTCAATAATGTCACATTTAAACTATCAGAATTAAGGCTCCAATCCTCAGCCTTACTTAGAATCATAAAATTGTAGAGTTGGAAGGGACCCTGAGGGTCAACTAGTCGAATTCTCTTCAATGCAGAAATCTCAAATAAAGCACCCAAGACAGATGGCCACCCAACCCCTGCTTTAAAATGTTAAAGGAAGAAGAAGGGAGTTCTGTAAAAGTCAGTGGTTCGTACTTCCGAGTGTAGAATAATAAGATTTATCTGTTAGGATTCTCTAAAGTGTGCATTTATTTTGGGTGCTCGGAGAATGGAAAACCTGTTTACAGATTTTGAATTGTAAGATCAGGCTAAACATTTAAAAAAACAAAAAACCAGAGATGTGTGTGTGTGTGTATCAGGCCCATACAATTAATAAAAAGAGAAAATGACAATCCTGTCGACCAGAGAGCCAACTTTCATTCCTAAGAGCGACAATTAAAGGATTTGAGTTGCAATATCGTACATTATATGATGCATTATTTTTAACCTGGCAGCCTTTGAGTCATGCACCTGTCATTTTAGCCCTGACAGATCTTTCTTTCTTTCTTTCTTCTTTCTTTCTTGGCATTATTTGTTTTTTCATATAAAATATAGCACCCTCTATTTGAGAAAGAGAGAGAGAGCTTACAGTATATGCAGAAGCAACGTACAGATTGCCAAACTGAGAGAAAACTAACTTGGCTACTTAATGCACTAAACTTCAGGTCTCCCTGTATTATGTGAAATGGCTTGAAACAGGAGGCAGCTGCCAAGGAATATCACTGCTTCTTTGCTCAAGAGAGAAGAGGAAAGGAAGAATGAAGGGGGGGGGAATTCCCCCGATGGATACCACAATAGCATGTCTTTCATTATCGCCCTGTGTCAAGGCACTGTGTAATATTCATTGTGCATGCATAGTAAATTCCTATTTACCTGGCAGCTCCTTTGATAAGTCAGTCTCTTCTCCCTCTTTTCGTCCACACAGCATGGACTCCCCCCCTCCTTTTTGCCTA